CCTTTAGCAAGAGGCCAAAGTATGTGTCCATTCCCGTGGAGCTGAAGTTAATGAAAACCAACTGACACAGTGATTGCTTCTGACAGTGTATACTACAATCCACACCCACAATCCCAAACCTCTCTACCAAGAACCTCTGTGCATTCGTGCAGGTTGTTTCCCATTTCTGAAGTTTACTTAACCACTGATATTCTCACTGGTCAGCATATTCCTGATCCCTTAAACTTAGCCCATTCCAGTGACCTTGAACCCCCTGCTGCCAGTGTACAAGTCCCATTCCCCATTCCTTAACTCCCTCACTCCTATCCCCCTTCACCCTATCCCCTCAGTGTGCTACATCAGATCTCCCTGCCTTTTCCACTGTACCCTCTGTGATGCCTACTCCATAATTAATAAATTTCTTTCATCTTAAACTTATTTCTTACATCTTCTGGCCCTCCCTGAGACATGGCTCTCTCTCAGTAACACACTTCCATCACTACTCTTTATAGTACTGGCTACATTTTCTCTTGTAACCCCTACTTGTGATGATGAGGGAGCTGGAATATTCACTGCTTCCGTTGACAATAATAGGCTTTCCTTCAATCACCTTTTATTGGCAACCTCTCTTCCTTTGATGTTCCCTCTCCAAATTTGTCATCCAATCTAAGTCTTGGCAGCTAATATCTATACATCACCAGGACGTTCTCCTTTCCTCAATGAGTTCAGTGCCTGACTCACAGTGTTTCTCTCCTTCCCATCTCTTGCTCTCATACTATGGGATTTCAGCAGACATATTCATGCCCTCTCAAATACCCTAACATTGTAGTTCCTCAGTCTGTTCAATTCCCATGGGCTACTCCTCCATTCTACCTCACCTACACAGAGACCTGGCCACACACCTTGACATCACCCACAAGTCTTCTACTTCCATATTTATGAATTTGAAATTCATTCATCTGATCATAATCTTCTAGCACTCCATCTTTCCATTTGCCTTATGACCTCTAACACAGTTCTTCATCTAAAACATGATCTCTATTCCCTCCATCCCTCATTTTTTTCCCCAGCCATTATCCCTGCACTGGTTACATTATCTTCTCTTCCCTTTGTCAACTCTTTGATGAATCAAATCAGCTCTATACTATCCTACACCCTATATTTCCTTGCCCCTTCATCCTATTGCCAGTCATATCTTGCCAAACTTCAACCCTGAACTACAACCACTATCCACTTCCTTTTCTTTTATTCACACATAGCTGAACAGAGCCAAAGGAAATCACAAAGCTGTGCTAACTGGGCCCACCACAGATTTATGTGATCCGATCGATCTCTACTGGGCCCTAACCTGCAGCAAGGCAAACATTCACTTACTTCCCAACTTATTTTTTTATCCCTCTCTCCATAGTATCTATTCCAGCCTTTCTGTCTGAGCCTCCAAGTCTCCCTTTCTCTTGGCTCATAGAGCCTCTCTCCGTAGTGTTTATTCCAGACTTTCTCTCTTTGAGCACTCCCTCTACTCCTCTCAGTCTTACATTTCACTGAAAAAAACCAGGCCATTTGGCAAGACCTCTCTCTTCTTCTCTTGTCCTCATTTCACAGCCCTGAGACATCTCCCTCTACCGTCTCTTCCTTCACTTGGATCTCAGATGAAAAAGTAATCCTTCTCACATCATAAACAAATTAAAGAAACAGAAGAAATTTCCTTTCAGAATTATGGTTAGGGAAAGAATTGATGACCAAACCCTTGTTTGAAAGGGTCACAGAACAATTTATATCTGTCTACTTTGCTGGTTCTTCATCCATGTTATGCCTACTAATCTTGGATATCCCTTTAGGTTTTGTCCTGGGCCCTCTTTTCTTTTTTTCTCCATACTATCTCACTTGATCTCATCACCTTCTATGGGTTCAATTTTCATCTCTTTTCAAATGATTTTGAGATCTATGTATCCATCCCTCGTCCCTCTGCTGAGCTATAGTCACACATCTCCAGCTGCCTTTTTTTCATCCAAAACTGAGTGTCCTATAGATAATCCAAACTCAGTATTTCCAAAAGGAAAAAATATTTCCCCTAAAATTCTTCCCAGTTTCCCTATTACTGGTGAGAATGCCACCATTTCTCCAGTCACTCAAGCTTGCATCCTTGGTGTCTTCTTAGATTCCTCTCTGTCACTCATCTCATATATCCAATCCATTGCCTAGGCTTACCAGTTTGGCACCTTCACAGAATCTCTCATATGCATCCCCTTCTCTTCTCATACATTCACAGCCCTAGTTCATTACCTCTCCCCTCGACTATTTCAGTAGCCTTCTAACTATTCTTCCTGTCCCAAGTTTTTCCCCACTCTACTCTCATTCTCTCAGCTGCCAAGGTGGTTTTTCTAAAGCATAATTCTAATCATATCACCTCACCTGCTCCATGAGCACCAGTGAGTCATTGTTACTTGCCGAATCAAATATAATGCTGTCTGGCATTCAAAAAGCTCTTCATAAGCTAGCCCCTTCCTGCCTTTCCAGCTTTCTTACTCCTTTTTCTTCCCCATGTACCCTGCAATGCAGCTGCACCTGCCTACTTGCAGTTCCTCAAAAAGGATGCCATCTTTGTGTGTTTGTTGTATCACACACCTAGAATGCTCTGCCCCCTCTGCCTTTTAGTTTCCCTGACTTCCTCAAATCCTACCTTCTATAGGAGGCCTTTCCTGATTCCTCCAGATGCTAAATTCCTTCCCCTTTCAAATTACCATCACATACTCTGTATACATCTTATAAATACTTCGTTGTTTACCTCTTGTCTCCCCCATTAAGATGTATGTTTTCTAAGGACAGACTATTTTTTTTCCTTTCTTTTTATCCCCAGGGTTCAGGGATGCCTAACAAATAATAAGCATTTAATAGATACTTATTGATTGACTGAATCCACTCTCCCCTGTATCTCCTTGTTTCAAAGTCTTTCTCTTCTTTCATAGGCTTAGCTCAGGTTTCTGGTCCTTCAAGAACTTTCATTTAGTCAGTCATCTTCATAATATTCTGGGTAAGGGATCCATTGTGCCTCTTAGCACCATGGATGCTAAGTAGCGATGAAGCTTACTACAACCTATTCCATTACTGGATGGTTCTTATTGGAAGTTTTCCATTATATTAGACCAAAATTTGCTTCCCTGTAACTTCCATCCAGCTTTATCCTTTTGGACCAAGCTGATTAAGTCTAATCCATCTTTCACGTGTCATCACTTCAAATAGTCATGAAGTGTTTTTCATTTTAGATAGGAAGTAACTAGAACATTAATTCATAGTGTAATTCTCTGGGCTAAAATATCAAGTCTAACATCTTACATTAAGAGGATTAATTAGTTCATGTTTATAAAGTATAGTGCAGATATGCCCTTTTTAAATGTTAATTTTCTAAAAACTACATCATAGCATTTTGCTAAATGTAAAAGCTCTAATATTCATCATTTCTTTGATACAGGTTGGCAAAGATTCTTTTGGCAGTGATTATATAGAAAACTTAAAACAGAATGATATTTCTACAGGTAAAATTTCATCTTTTAAAGTTTAAAAAATCTTTTTCTTTGTTCTTCTTATGGGAGGAAAAAAAGGTTGACTATAAAAAGATTTATGATTGTATTATCCTCTATTGGCCAAAGATTTTTTTACTCTCTCAGTATTTTGTCTAGCCTAGTTTGTGTACTTTAACTCTTTAAGCATCGTTTTTTTCAGCAGAGGTAAAGCAAAAGCAGGTTATTACTGTTTATCAGGTAGCCTGGCTTCAAAACTGAAGTGGCAGAGAAAACAGGACTGTGCAGACCTAAAAAGCATGTAGGATATAAGTGGATCAATTTAGAAAAGGTAGAGCTGGAAAAGACCTTAGTACAAAGAAGCTCCATTCAATAAACATTTATCAGGTGCCTGCTATGTATTAATTAAAAGACAAGATCAAAAACCAGCCTGGGAATCTGGGAAGTCCTGGGTTTAAGCCCAACCCTCTGACACATACTCCAACCCTTGGCAGATTAACTTCTTAAGGCTCCAGGCATCTCTCTAAGAGTATAAATTGCAGGACAATTTTCTAAAAATGTGTATACTCGTAGTTTGATGCCTATCTATATTGTTGGTGTCCATTTCCTCATTGAGAGTTCTCTGGACCAATGAACACACAGGCCCAGACCAGAAAACATATTGTATACACACACACAGACACACACACACACACGTATGTATATACAAGTGTGTGCACACTCATGTATGTGTATGTTATACAAGACACATCTAGTATATTTCCCTCATTTTACAGGAAAGAAAACAGGCATCCAAAGTCATACATTTAGTTAGTAGTAGGACTATTATTACTGTGACATTATGCTGCCACTCATGCTTCATCTTATCACAGCTTTACATACCATGATTTTTTGTGGAAGGCCTATAAAAAGGGAAACAAGTGTGCTTTTTGGTTTGGATATCTTACCTATCTCTTATTTCAAGTCTTTTCAGTAAATGAAAGGAAAAAAAAAAAGAAGTGATTTAGAAGAGAAAAGCTGATTGGGGGGGGGGTTGTCTTACATGCCCAGACTTTAATATATATTACAAAGCAAGTATCCTTAAAACAAATCAAAAAAAAAAAATTAGTATGCAAAAAATTAGTACTTAACAATTTTTTTTTTCAAAAAAGAATTCATTTTTTAATAAATTTATTTGAGAAAATTGGCTGTCAATATAGTGGAAAAATATTTAGACTCAGATCTTTTTTCATATATTCCATTAAATTCTAAGTGGATAAGAAATTTAAACATAAAAAAAGAAAGAAAATTGAATAAACTATCTGAATTGTGATGATTAATTTTTAAAAATTCAACAAGTAGAAAGAATTATTGAGGATAGATAGATGTGCTTTAATGCATTAAAATTAAAGTTTTTCTCTGCCACAGAAAGGAATATAATTAGCTAGAAGGAACTAAAAGGAGTATAAGAAACATGAAAATTGGGTAATTTTTATAGAAAATATGACTTTAAAAATAACATCTGAAATATATGAGGGACTGTTAAGTCAGTCACAATGGTAACTCCCAGACCATATCAGATAAATAACCAAAAGATAAAAATTTGCAATTTTTGAAAGAAAAAACACAAATTATTAATAATTGCTTGAAAAAATGCTTAATTTCATTAGTAACAAATGAGGTACAAATTAAAATGGCTTTAAGATACCAACTCACATCCATCAAATTGGCAAAAATAATAAAAAGTAACAAAATTCAGAGCTGGCATTGCTGTGGGAAAAAAGATAGATTCATTCATTGCTGGTAGAATTGCAAACTTGGAGAATCTCTTTAGAGAGTAATGTGGAAGTTAAGTAAAATCTGCAAAAAAAATAATCATAACCTTTAACCTAATAATATCATTTTGGAGAATAAACCCTGAAAGTCCTATAAAAAACAAAAAGCTATTTGTGCAAAGATTTCCATAGCAGCATAATTAATACACAGTTACAAAAAAGTTGGAAACAAATGGCCAACAATAGGACAATGGTTAAATAAATTATGGCATTTTAATGTAATACAAAGAATACAATGAATACAAAGAAATCTAGAAAAACCTGTATGAAATAATTCACATTTAAAAAAAAAAGCAGAACTAAAAGAAAGAAGTGTATCTGTAGACTCACTAACTACAATCATATGAAGACAAGAAAATGAGAATGGACAAAGATTTTTGATGAGGACTCAAAGGAAATGCAATGACTGAAATAGTCTTATGATATTTTATTCATTGAAATTAATTTAGATGTAAATTGTCACCGTGTATATATATTTGTTTGTATTGATTTGCCATGTTAAATTTTTAAACAAACTTTTTGAAAAGGAAAATGCCATTGCATTATCTATAAAGGCTATGGAATTTGTGGTCACTGCTATGAAAGAATTCATCAAAATATAGACTCCTTTACTTCGTCTTTTTTACTTTGTAGGTACAAATTAGTACTTTTCAATTGAACGTAAACTCCCTGAGGAAGGAACTGTTTTGGTTTTGTATTTATAGCCCAAGTACCTAGCACAATCATTACCTGATACAGAATAGGTAATTAATAAATGTTTGTTGAATTGAATTATTTGTTCATTTCTTTGTTGTTACTTTGTCAAAGTATATTATGCATTTTGTGTTCTATCTACTATTTTGTAATATTTCTTCTCTTTTAGAATTTATGTATCAGACCAAAGATGCTTCTACAGGAGCTGCTTCAATAATTGTCAACAGTGAAGGTAGTTATTTCTTGTGTTGAAGCACCATTTTATAAAAGAATATATTACTTTCAGAACTATAAAAGAAGGCATCACCTTTGCCCTAACCTGCTGTATATTCTCATCCTGCCACTGATATTCTTTGAAAAGTCCAAAAATACAATTTTATCAAATCAACTGTTGCCGCTGATTGTCTCCTAAGTCATTCATTCAGGTATAACAACTGTTGCTATTTACAGAGTTTTGGAATTATCATTTTGTTGTTGTTCAATCGTTTCAGTCACTCTTTGTGACCCTATTTGGGGTTTTCTTGGCAAAGATACTGGAGTGATTTGCCATTTCTTTCTCCAGCTCATTTTACAGATGAGGAAACTGAGGCAAACAGGGTTAAGTGACTTGCCCTAGGTAACACAGCTGGTAAGTGTCTGAGACTGGATTTGAATTCAGGTGTTCCTGGCTTTAGGCCCAGCACTATATCCACCGCACTACTTAGCTGCACTGAGTCATCATAGATCAACTCTTTATTCCTTAGTATCCAGTTGTACTTTTCATATAAGCCTGGATTCATATTTATCTATAAAAGCATTTAAGTGTTAGCTATTTTATTGAATGTGATGAATAAAAGTATATGTAAGGAAAACAATTTGACACATAACAGTTTTTGAACATCCCCTGGGTGCCAAGCAGGAACTATTTGCTTTTAACTTGCCTTTTTTGTTCATTTGGGTCTTATGTTTGAATAGTGACCAAATTATAAATTTCTCTGTTTACATCAAAATCTTACAAAAGTTTACATCTGTGAAAAATTATTGTGAAAAATTAAGCTCATCATATTTCCTTCAATTAAATTCTTGCTCCTGATTTCAGTTTTTGCTTGAGTTTAATAAGGCAAGAATTACAGAATTCACTAGGAGTTCTCCATATTGTGACAGTAGGCAGTTTGGTTTCTATTATATTCAAACATTTAAAAGTCTGAATATATCATTATCCACCTTAAACTTCATTGTGTTTTTGTTTTTTGCTAGGCAATGGGGTTAAGGGTCACACAGCTAGTAAGTGTCAAGTGTCTGAGGACGGATTTGAACTCAGGTCCTCCTGACTCCAGGGCCTATGCTCTATCCATTGTGCCACCTAGCTGCCCCTTAAACTTCATTTTGAATAATTGTCGCTACCAACTACAGCTAATTCTTTGTCTAATACCTCTTCTTGTATGTTAGTGATAGCTTCAGATTCAGAGAACCATAGATTTAAAGAACTGGGGACCTTCAGAAGGATCTGGTCCAACCCTCTTATATTACAGATTAAATTTTACAGAAGAAACTGAAGCCCAAAGGGATTAAGTGATCTGCCCAAGGTAACAAATAACAGAGCTAGAATTTGAACCTTTGTCTTATGACACTAAATGTGGTATTCTTATATACATATATATATATATATAAGAACTATGTATGTGTATGTATGCATACACATATACATATACTTTGACACAAACATATATATAAATATGTAAAAGAAATAAGGGAAATATATGTGTGCACAGGGTATTCCAAAAGTTTTAGTGCTGTGTGTATGTGTTTGTGTATACACTTTCCTTATTTTTCTTCCTAGAGTCATAGAATGGGAGAAGTGGAAGGGGCCTCAGAGATTATCCTTACTCTAAGATAATAATGCTGTCTTTTGCATTTGAAGGTGATGCCATGACCCCAGAGGACATATACTTAGAGTTATTTTTCTGTTAGTAGGGAAGGGTTTATGCTGATCCATCCTTCATCCTCTTTTCCAGCAAGCATCATGCCTTTGTCAGGTGACTAGTTAGAATTTGTTCAAAGTTATTTTTAGGCCACATCTTTTATAGACAAATCATCATGCCATAAGAACAGCCTCTATGATTTACTGCATTCATCTCTACAGAAAAGCCCCAGAGCCAGGCACCAGGAGCATCTCTGATACGGGCTCTTGTATCATATGACAGTGGGTCCAAGTTTGCTAAATGGACCAGGTATCACTCTCCCATTTCTCCCTTCTCTAAGATGATGTAGACAGAGATAATTCTGAGGTTGTAATATCATTAAGTGTTATCATTGGCACAGGATTATTTCAGTATTAGACGCAGCTTAATATCTGTTAAATAATTTTAAACATATTTCAAATTATAGATTTTTTGTAATACAAAACTCTGCCATGGTTGATGCTTAATTTGTTTGTACACACAAACTGACTGCACATAGGTCATTGGTGATGTGTATCATGCAAATTTGTTCCTATTTTTACCTACAAATATGAAGTCTGTGTTTGGGTTTCCAAGGCCATTACCACAAACTTCACCTCTTTCCCCACCATCATCACTCCCTTTGCCTCCCCAACAAAAAAGAAAGAAAGAAAGAAAGAAAAAAGTATTTTATATATCATTTCAAAATGACATTTCCCATAGGCATACTTACTTTCAGCTGCTCTCCACTGCTTACTGAATTAAGTATAATCCCCACCGCAATTAGACTCTAGTCTACTTTTCTAGTTTTATCTCATACCTTCCTCCTTCCTAATAGGCCATTCACTGTGCCCTGTGCTTGTCCTCCCCTCTCTCCTTAGTGCTTTTGCTTACCCTGCCCCACATTTCCCCATCCCCACCTCTGCTTGTTGAAATGCCTCCATTTTTTGAAAGTCAAACTCAGGATCATCTCTTGCCTCTTCCCTAATCACCCCAGCTAGTAATAAATTCCCTTCTCAGGATTTTTTTATGGCCCTTTATTTAAACTTTTCCTTTATACTTCTTACCTTCTGCCTTGTGTTACAGTTATTGACATATATGCCATATTCCCTTGGTTGGATTACAAGTTCCTTAAAGGTCAGAATTGTGTCATTTTTCATTATTATATTCTTACCACTTAGCATGGAGACTTGCACATGGCACATAATAGACAAAGTTTTCCGTGACATTCATACTTAAAGCATTGTTGTTTCCATTTTATAGATGAGGAAACTGAGACCCAGACAGGTTGTCCATGGTCACACAGCTAGCAAGTGTCAAAGTTCTAACTGAGCCCAGGTCACTTGACTCCAGACTCACAGTATTTCAACGAAATCACACTGCTTCTCAGTTACCTCATCTGTAAACAGGAGCTAACAATACTTGCCTTGCTTGCCTCACAAGGTTGTTCTGAAGCTTGGGTATTTTATACGCAGATATTATTTCAGTGCTTTATTGATGTGGGTCCTCCTACTGTTTCAGATTGAAGCCTATCCACCCCTTCTTATCCATCCAATGTAATTCTTGTTCATGTCCTTGCATAAATCCTCTACAACTTGCTGAATAATGATATAGTGCTGTGTGAATGTAAGTTATTATTTTAATTATTCTGTAATTTCGATATAAATAGTGGATAGAGTGCTATACTTAACAAGTCAGGAAGACCTGGATTCAAATCCTGCCTCTGAAACTCAACAAGCTCTATGACCATGGGCAAGTCAATTAATCTCTCTAAACTTTAGGCATCCCTCTAAGATTTATCTGCTAACTTATATTCAGATTCTGATCTACTCTGGTAGATAGAGTTCCCATAACAACAAAATCATAATGCATTCATTGACATATGGATCTAATGTTATTGAGTTTTGCTAAATAACATTGATAAGTAGCTTACTATTTTATCAAGATTGAAAGTGATCAAAATGTGATATGCAAATAGAAAAAAAATTTTAGTTACCGAAGTTACCCTTCATGGAAAGACAAGTGATAAATTGAATAGGATCATAGATTTAGAGCTGAAAAGAACTGGAGAGCTTATTTAATTGAACTGCTTCACTTTCTACATCATTTAGCATCCAAAAATTATTTGCTGACAGGTGTTATAGGATTACAAGATAAGGTCATTTAGAAGGTAGAGTCTTATAGAATGTTGTAGTGATCTATGCTTAATCCTGTGCTAGATATCATTTTTTATCAGAGACCTTTCAAATAAACAATTATAACAGGCTAGAACATTGGACAAAATCTAATAAGTCCTGATTCTATAAAGATGAAATTTAATAGAGCTAAATGTAAAGTCTTACAATTAAGAAAAAACAACTTTACAAATCTAAGATGAGAAAGTCTGACTAGATTGTAGTTCATCTGGAGAAGGTCTAGGGGCTTTAGTAGGTTTAACATAAGGCAGCCATGAGAGTTGGCATCCAGGAAAAATAATGCAGTTTTAGGCTACATTTACAGAGGCAGAGCTTCCAGAAATATGGAGATAGTAATCCCACTAACCTCTGCCCTGGTCAGACCACAAGTGAAGTAATGGTAACACATTTTAAAAACGACATTAATAAGCTAGAGTGTGTCCAGAGGAGGACAGACAAGATGGTGACAGGCCCTGAGTTCATGTCAAACATGGCTTGGTTGAAGGAACAAAGTATGTTTAGCCTAGAAAAGAGAAGACTTAAGGGGAACATAACAAATGACCTCAAATATTTAAAGGACTGCCTGCCATGTGAGAGGCAGATTAGATTTGTTCTGTTTGGCCTTGATTGTCCTGATTGGCAGTCAGAATTAGGATCAATGGGTAAAAGTTGCGAAAAAATCAAATTTAGGCTCAATGTGAAGAAAAACTTTGCAATAATTGGAACTATCCAAAAGTGGAATGGACTGCCTTAGGAAGTGGTATGTTTCCTCCCGTTTGGAGGTCTCGAAACAAAAACTTGTCAGTGCGTTGTAGAATGGATTCTTATTCGGGGATGGATTATACTAGATGTCCTCTGAAGTCCCTTCCAACTTAGAGATTCTGTGATGCTTGTTTTTGTAACTTAAATAAGTACCCAGAAATATCTTTCTAGGACAGAATATTATCGTCATCGTGGCCGGAGCAAACTTGCTGTTGAATTCTGATGACCTGAGGAAGGCAGCTGATATCATTAGCAGAGCCAAAGTAATTATCTGCCAGCTAGAAATATCTCCAGCTACTTCTCTGGAAGCCCTGACAATGGCCCGCAAAAGCGGAGGTAATTTTACACATTTGTCATTCTTTCTATGAAAACATCTCTCTCTCTCTCATGCTAGGAAAATTAGCTTTTTTAAGAGGCAACTTTATTTTGATTTTGATCTCTTTAACATTTTTTCACAGCAAACTACTGTGCCTTCTTATATCTACTTGGCTTTACATTTGTCTTTTAGTTTTAGCAAATGTTAGGGAACTTTACAAATATGGTGAAAACCAAGCCATCTGGCTCAGTACCAGTCACAGAGCTCTAAAAACTAGCATGTCAGATGTCCCCCAATACAAACCCTCAGCCCAGTTCCCAGGCCTAATGCCAGGACTGACTTGAATCACCACTGAAGCAGCCCAACATAAACAGTTTCTGGTGATGTTATTTTAGCTTAGAGAATCTGGAAGTGAATATTATCACATAAACGTGTATGGTAACGGCACAGTCACCATTTGATAAACACCTTCAGAAGCTGGAGAGTCGTTCTCATTCGGCTTTGTAAAAGTTCCAAACCTTTTTTGCAACAGAAGGTTTATTTTCAAAATTTTAGAATTTTTTTGAAGTAGTTTTTATTTTTCATGCAGTTTATCTTTGTGTATTTGAGAATATTTTTAGGTTTGGGAACTTCATGTAGGGCATTTTTGTTTCCCTAAGTGGGCTCTTGATTAGTACTTTACCTCCTCTCCTTCAGCTTTAATAGATAGATATCATTGAGTGCTTACTTTGTGCCAGGTCCAGCGCTAAGTGCTGAGAATATAAATATAAGCAAGCAAGACAGTCCCTGCCCTCAAGAAGCTTTCATTCTAATGAGGGAAGACAGCACATAAAAGGGAATTAACACCTTTCTCATTCTGGATGTTATGCCTCTTTTAATACAGCCTAAGATCATATTAACATGTTTTAGCTGCTGTATCACAATCAATTTGTCAAGCTGGCAATCCACTCAGAACCCCAGATCTTTTCCAGATGAACTGGTGTCTAAGAACATTTCCTCCATCTTATATTTGTGAAGTTGATATTTTGAACCCAAGTTTAGAAACATATATTTATCATATTTTATTCGATTTAACCCACCATTCCAGTCTATTGAGATTTATTTTGGATTCTGATTCTGCCACTTACTGTGTTAGCTAGTCCTCTTAGCTTTGTTTTACCACCAAGTTAATATGCATCTCGTCTATGCCTTCATCCAAGTCATTGGATAAAAGAGGTTAAAAAGCACAAGGCCTTAGAGCACTGGCCCTGAAGGCAGGAGAACCTGAGTTCAAATCCAGCCTCAAACACTTGACACTTACTAGCTGTGTGACCCTGGGCAAGTCACTTAACCCCAATTGCTTCACCAAAAAGAAAAAAAGAAAAAAAAAAAAAAGCACAAAGCCATGGAGAGATCGATCCCAGGAGCATTCTATAAGAGACCTCCATCCAAACTGACACCAAGCAACTATTTTTTGGGCACAGTCATTCAGCCATTTCTGAGTCCACCTAATAGACCGTCATCTTCCATAGGAGGATCCAACCTTATTTCACATTACTTTCCTTCACATACTTTGTTTTCACCATACTGGACTATGAGCTGGCCACTAAGCTTTCTACCCAGTCTCCTACTTTGTTAGACGTACATAAGCCATCCTCCAGGCCTGAATTGCACTCCCTCCTGTCATGTTCCTTAACTATACTCAAGGATCAGTTTAGGTGATATCTCCTCTATGAAGCTTTCCTTTGCTTTCCTCTTCACATTACCTTAGATTATATTTTTCTTCGAACATGTTGTGTCCCCTCAGTTAGAATGCCTTCCTGTCAGCTCCTAGAGACCTGGAAATGTTTTATTTTAGGCTTTGTATCCCCAAAACCTAGCACAGTGTCTAGCACCTCAAAGAAGTTTAATGAATATTGATTAAATTGAATTTCCGCTTTCCTGAAATTTAGGTAAGCTATGTGTCTAAGGGTTGATCACTTTTACCTATTTCTACAGTATCTCCCTATTCTCACCAGTCTAGTAACCCTGTTTGAAAAAGGAAATGAGGTGAGTCTGGCATTACCAAGTCTTTTTTTTTTTTTTTTTTTATGGTGAAGCAGTGGGGTAAAGTGACTTGCCCAGAGTCACACAGCTAGTAAGTGTTATGTGTCTGAGGCCAGATTTAAACTCAGGTCCTCCTAACTCCAGGGCCAGTGCTTTATCCACTGCACCACCTCACTGCCCCTGGCATGACCAATTTTTTATGAAACTATGCAGACTCTCTCTGCTCACTGCTTGCTTCTCCAGGTGTTGCCTGAGGTTTCTTAAATGGTGGAAAAATTAAAAGGATCAAAAAGATGTCATTTCAAGGTCTCCCCTGATGCATGTTTAAAAATGCATAGTATCCAAATGTCAGCCACTACACAACTTTTTTATTCTGTTGCAGTGAAGACTCTGTTTAATCCTGCTCCTGCCACAGCTGACCTTGACGCACAGTTCTATACCGTCTCTGATATATTTTGCTGCAATGAAAGTGAGGTAATGCACTAAGAGAGTCTGATTGCTCTTTAACAAGCAAAAAAAACTGTTTTCTTCAGGGATGAAGTACAGGGACAGAGCTAAGTTGTGTGGCCACTCAGTCATTTAATCACTTTATTCATTTCTGGAGCAAAGTGGGAAGTGAATGTCTTAGCTGTAAATGGGGATGATAATAACACCTACCTCCCAGAGTTCTTATGAGGATTTAATGAGATAAGAGTAGACACCATATCAATCCTTACTCAAAATATCCAGGAATCTGTTTAGATCTGCCACTTACTTGGAATTTTAAAAACAAAACCTAAATTCTGCTACCTTTCAAACAAAGTTTGAACTCTATCTTAATACAAGTATATAACACATACTGTCCAGATCCTAGCAGTTGTTCTTCACTGGCCCCCCAGGTTATTCTCCCTCCTTTCTCAGGGAGCTTAGTACCTGGCTCACAGCCTTCCCGTGCACCCTAACGTGTTTTAGAGACACACTCTCTTCTCCTCAATTCTATACTCCAAATTACCTCAACATCATCCCCCATTCTTTTCTCATTAGCTCCAGCTTTGAAGGAGAGCATACTCCTCTTTGCCAATACCAATCCCTCTCTTGTTCCTTTGATCCTATCTCCTCCCTTATTCTCTAGGAAATTGCTGCTTTGATCATCCCACCCCTCTCTCTAATTTTTGATCTTTCCTTATCCAATGGCTTCTCCCTTAATGTTTAAAAACAGACCTAGATTGCAGTCATTCTATTTCTCTGCTCCTTTCACATCCAAACTCCTAGAAAAAGCTATCTAAACTCATTGCCACCATTTCCATACCTCCCTCACTTCCCAACCCCCATACAGCCTGTCTTCCTACCAATGATTTATTCATTGGTAAATCCAATGACCATTTGGTCTCCAGTCATTGACCGTTTCTTAGTCTTCATCCTACTTAACCCCTCTGCAGTACTTCACACTTTTGACCTTCACTTCCTCATATATCCTCCCCTCTTCAGATTTTCATGACATCCATGTCCCTCCTCCATCTGAATAGGTATGTCCCAGAGCTGCATCCTAGAAGCTCTTCTGTCTTTATGCTTTTTCTCAATGATCTCATTAACTCCCATGAATTTAACCATTACCTCTGTTGATAATTCTTAGATCTGCTCTCTTTCCTGGACCCAGTCCTTCATCAGCTACTTATTGAGTATTTTCAGCTGGATGGTCCCATAGACATCTCAGAACTTGCTGTCTTACTCTTCCTAACTTCCCTGTTTCTTTGAAGTACAGCTCTATCATTTGTGTCACTTTAATTACAACCCCAGAGTTATCCTTGACTCTTCTCTCTACCTTACCCTTTATATCCAGTCACTAGACCCTGTCAATTCTACTTTCAAAAAATTCCTCAAATCCATTTACTTCTCCCCCTAACCCATATCACAGCCAACCTTGTCCCTCATCACCTATTGCCTGAACCTTCCCTCATCACTGGTCTCTGCCTCCAGTGTATCTCATCCTTAATCCATGCTCTACACATCTGCCAAACTGACATTTCTAAAACACAAGTCTTCCTTGTGTTACTTCCTTGCTCAAAAGGTTCCATTGGCTTCCTTTTGCCTCTAGAATAGACTGAAAACTCCTGTGTTTGCATTTTAAAGCCCTTCACAATCTGGCGCCTGGCTGCTTCCCTTTCTAGGCTCATGGCACATCACTTTCCTTCACGCCTGCTTTCTTTCAGCCAGCCTAGTGTACTTGATGCTTGCCATACGTAACATTCTATCTGCTGTCTTCATGACTTTGCCTAGGTCTACAAGGCCGTCTCTCCTCTGATCTGCCAAAGCTCATCTGCTCAGACGGCAGCTCTAGGAGGCCTGTCATGTTCTCCCCAGAAGCTAGTTCCCTACTTCCAAAATTACTTTGTAGCTATCTTGTATTTATTATGTTGTAGTTACTATTCTCTCTTCATATTTGTCTCCCAACAGGAGGTAAGACCCTTGAGCAGGGAATACTTCATTTCTATCTTTGTAGCCACAGCACCTAGCACAGTGCCTGGAATGTAGTAGACACCTAAGAAATGCTTGTTGAGTTTAGTGCTGATGTTACTAACATTTGGTTATGTCTTTCTATCCCCGGCACCTAACAGAAAAACTTGTACAGGTTTAATAAATAGTTACTATGCTTGAGGTGCTTAATAAATACTTGTTGATTTATAATTCTTTACTTCCCTTATTTACAATTTCATCTCCCAGGAAACAGAGGAGTCAAAGAAGTATATAGAAATGGACTTCATTCTGAGCAGCAAGAACTGCTCAGTGACGTGGAAGTGATAAGAACCTTGGAAGATTTTGTACCGAATTCAGTGTCTCATTGAACTTGCTTAAAGCATATTTACTAGCTCTATGATGCCTGCCCTAACTCATACCCCTTAGGATAAGCCTTTGGGGACTCATGGCTACCTCCAGGACACAATGAGGCGTTTGATTACTTTCATTGCTCAGATGTCTCCTTCTGGTTGTAGGAACATAAAACAGTGCATCTTCTTCAGCCTGTAATATAAGAGGAAAGTATTCGGGGGAGTTCCCCCTATGACAAAGTCTATAAAATCCCATTTCCTCAGATACACAGAGATCATTTTCTTCATTCATGATTTTAAGTTGGGACCAGTCTTACTAGTGGCCATGAGCCTCGGTGATGGACCCCTTCATTCCCTGGACCCGCTCAAGATCACATGTCTTCCTACTTATCAGAAACAGACTCCTCATCTCTGCTTGGTTTAATGCTTTTACCATTTTCTCCTGCTCCCTCTCCATCCCTTCCCAGCAGCATCAACCTGCCTGTTTTTCCTCTTTGGATCCTGTGTTCCCTCTAGACATATATAGTTCATATGACCCGTTGTACCTTTGAGGTCCAGGTTGCTCCTCAATGTAGGTGAAATTCCCTGACATGCAATTCATCTAATTCTTTGGGCCTGCACAAACCAAGCATCTGGCAAGCCCTGTCTAGGCCACATTAGGACTGAGTATCTTCATCTTATTATCTGCCTACCAAAATCCCTTTCCTCTTTGTCTTGTTGAAGTTCCATCTTTTCATCTGTCACCAGCCTCTAGGTGCACATGTTTCACTGTAAAGATTTCATACATATTCAGGTTTCTCTCCAGGTCCACCTATACCCAGTATTTCTGTGTCTATGCCTATCTCTGAGTCTTCATATGTACTTGTTGGCCATAGATGGGCCCCTCATCTCTGTCTGCTTCCTGATGTGTCCCTATGGGTTTTAAAAGCCAAACCCAAGGGCCAGTTTGAGTGTATGAACTCTCATTATTGTGGTATGAACTCAGTGACTGCTGCTGTTGCTGCCTTGGCAAAGACCACACCAATGAGGTGGTAAGGCAATTTCACACCTTGATCTGGAGATAGGAGAAAGGGACAAATCTGATGACTGTAGATGTAAGCCATGGTAGGTGGTTAATAAATACTTGTTGATTGATTGATTAATTGGCTGATTTTAAAGGAAATATCACAGGAGGGTCCTTTACCCTCTATGCTACTATTGCTTTACAAATAGTTAAATAGTATTTTTCCCAAAATCATTAGGTATCCAGCCAATACCAGGGCACTGTATCCCTGAGTCCTCCTGGTACCTAACTTGGGATTGAGTTTCTTTCCTATTTGCTGGGAATATTTTAAAGCCTTAATTAAACAGTTGTAGGCTTAGAACAAATGTTTGACTGCCATACCCAAGCCTATGTGAGACTATGTGCTATACCTATAGCATAGCCCTGACCTAATATAGAACCAAGAAGCCATATGGCTTCTTCATACTTGTAAATGGGGAATTTCCTTCCTCCCATCCTCAGTCCTCCTCTCATAGTTTTCTGTAAAAACTGAAATGATCTTAAAGAAATCTTCCCATCCCAATTAGTGTGATTACTGAAATCTGAATAAATTCATTTGGTAAACTACAGGCATCTAGTTTTAATGGAATCTTGTGATTTTAGAGTTGGAAAGTACTAGAAATCATTTAGTCCAACTTCCCACTCCATGTAAGGAATCCCCCATATAACCACAGGAATATTTGGGTACATAATCCATCTGACACTCACTGGCTATGTGACCTGGGGCAGATCACTCAACTACTGTACTTCTCAGTTTCATCATATATAAAAAGGGGATAATTATACCTATAGTATCTCCTAACATCACAAAGTTGTGAGATTCAAATAAGAGAATATAAAGGGTATCCCAAAAGCCTTAAGCTATTAAAACTTAAAACTGCACTAAGATTTTTGGGACACCCTGTATATTTGTGTATGTGTACTTTAAAAACTTTAAAGTGCTACATAATTATCAGTTACTACTATTATGATTATGCATATAAAGTATTTTGCAAAACTTTTAAAGCACTGTATAAATGTAATTTGTTCTCACCTATAATCTATGAGGTAATCCAGCCTTAGTGGCATCACTACTTCACTTTTGTCAGGAGTCTCAAAACCAAATCAATTAAAAGAAATAGAAACAGCTTTCTAATGAAACAAATTAAGATAAATTGGCACAGATTACTTATTAATGACTTTACTTTCTTTGATTTCTAGGCTGAGAATTTAACTGGGCTTACAATTAATAGCCCTGCAGCAGCTGGAAAGGCTGGATCGGTGCTGATAGAAAGGGGTTGCAAGGTGGTAATCATTACCTTGGGTGCTGAAGGATGTGTATTTGTATCAGCCGAAGAACCTGGCCCAAAGCTTATTCCCACACAGAAGGTCACCAAGCCTGTGGATACTACGGTATGTTTTGAGATTTAAGAAAACTTTTTTCAAGCACTTTGGGAAAAAAATAACTTAGTAACTAATTAGTACATTTTAATCTTAGAGTGAGGATATGAAGGCTCAGGATTACTGAACAAATTAGAATACTGGATTCCAATCCAGTGATCCAACCAAATCCTTCTTCACAATTCTCTGAACCTTTTGTTTTCTAATAAAAATCTGTAAGTTGGTAAATCTGTAAGAAAAAAATCTTTAAAATACCTTTTCTAACTATCTCACAGAGTTGTTGCAAGGAAAAAAAGATTGCTTGGTCACCAGAAATAATGGGAAAGAAAGGACTTTGAAACTTTGATTATAAGGACTGAGGATTATTTGTATTTTTCTTTGTTTCATGTGTTGACTTGGCCAAACCCCTGGTCAACTCCTAGATACTCTAAAAATGATAAGCTACACCAGGCCTCAGGCAACAGACAATCAGTCACTGGTTCTATGCTGAAAACCTGCCCTAACTCATAACCCCTTAGGATAAGTCCTTGGGGACTCATGGCTACCTCCAGGACACAATGAGGCATTTGATTACTTTCATTGCTCAGATGTCTCCTTCAGGTTCTAGGAACATACAATAGTGCATCTTCTTCAGCCTATAATAGAAGAGGAAAGTATTCAGGGGAGTTCCCCTTATGACAAAGTCTATAAAATCCCATTTCTTCAGCTGAGGAATAATGGTGGCTTAGAAAAAGCCAGCAGTTTGAGGGAATCCCTCTAGGAAACGTCACGGTTTTTGTACAAAGTAACTTCAGTAAGTATTCATTAAGTTTTTTCCTCCTGTAATCTTTTTATTCTTAATGGAGATTCCCTCTGTAACTTACCTATGATTCACTGCCTTCAAAAATGCCTTCCATTCCCTCCATGGCAAAAGAAGCCACGTTCCTTCTCTCTGACTTTGGGTCTTGTAAGCAGCTAGTGTGATTGTTTTATCATCAGCTGGCCCTGAGCGATGGGAAGTCAGAGAACGCTTAGGGTGCCAGCCTGCCTTTGGAGCCTGTCCTAGACAGCTGGCGTGAGGTTCTCCTTCCTTACCTCGATTGGTTTTTCAGCAAGCACTTGTTATGCCTACAGTGTAACACCAGATCAGAGCTTGTCCACTGCAGTAATGGTTCTAGCTTGTGTGAAATGGTTCGAGAACTCAAAGGTGAATACTAAACTATAATGGCTCTGCTCAAAAGGTTATTCTCTCTCCTTCCCATTCTTTTTCTCTTCTTCATTTATTTTAAAACAAGACCCCATTTCCTGACTCTTTGTCCTTTGCACTGGATGTCCCTTCACTGGCCTCCATCCTCACCTCCACCTCCAGGCTTCCTTAAAGATGCAGCTCAAATCCCACCTCCTTCAAGAAGTCTTTCCCAGCCTCTGCTTTGCCCTCCCCTACTGCTAGAGCCTCCTGGCAGAGGTCATCTCCCACTTAAACCTGTATTTATCTTGCATGTAAATGGTTGTTTGCATGTTTTCTCTCCCATTAAAATGTGAGTCTTCTTTCTTCCTATTCTCAGCATTCAACATAGTGTCTGATACGCAGTAAATGTTTGCTAACTGATTAAAGATATGGACGCTACCGGAATGGGTTGTCTGTGCTTAGTACAGACAGTTGGCAGCCCACTTCTTGGCCCTTACAACCCCCAGATGTTTTGGAGAACTCCAGTTTTAATCCTTTAACATGTAGTTCTATATGGCTTCTCTTAGAGCCAAATGATATAAAGGCTTTCAGAGTTCCCAAGACAGGGCTAGAGTGGCCGCTCACAACATATGTATCATCAAGTCTGCTACCAAATAACTGCTAAGAAATTCCCATTTCACTGAAACCAGCCTCCTGAGAGTAATTAAAGAGGCCTTCCGCCCAAGTCACTGAGTTAGTTAAGGAGCATCACTTTAAGACTTGTGCTAAGGAATTAGTCTCCCTACATCTAATCTTTTCCCTTTTCCAATTCATCCTGTGTGCTGCAGCCAGATTAATCTTCTGAAAACACCGCTTTAGCCAAGTCACTCCTCAGTTCAAAAATAGTAACATCTCACATTTATATAAGTTCTTATTTATTTATAAATTTCTATGTGTGTTTCTATATTTTATTTATTTATAAGTTTTATAAAACACATCTTTGTTCATGTCTTCTTTTCTGCCTAGAATTCTGTTTTCCCCATCTTTACCTTTTGAAATCCTACCCATCTCTCAAAGGGCTGGTCAAATGCCACTTTTATCAGCCAGAACTATGCTCTCTCTCCTCTCAACTGCTACAGCAATTATTATTTGCACCAATCATGCAACACTAATTGTAGAGTGTAGTGTATTATAGTTATCTGTGTCATCTCTGCTATTAGAATATAAGCTCCTAGAGGGCAGCAACTATTTCTGACACAACACTGTAGCACCCCACCCCCAAAAAATAGCCAAAAAATATTTATTAAATGAATAAATGAACTATTAATATGTGTAGAATTAACACATATACCCTTTCCTTGTCCTGTGCCCAGCCTCATACAATTAGTTTTCACACTAGATACCAAGTGAAGTTATGCACTACCACACTATTATATTAAATTGTTATTCTTAAGATACAACACCAGCAATAATATCTTCAAATAAGAACCTAATGTATCACCATTTTCAAGTTGTGATTTTTCCAGAAGTCATTTCAGTAGTGCTACTGCTTAATCTACAACAGTCTAGCAAATATTTTATTTGACAGATACTGTTATAATAAATCATCTGCATAATTGAATGAATTCTCAGCTTGGGGTGTAGGGGTGCAGCAGCGTATGTGTGGAGTAGAGGGGACACTGACAGAAAACAAAGTTGATTTCTTGGCTTGAAATTTCATACTTTTCTTTACTGCCAGCATTATGATTTATTCACTGCTCACATTAGTCACTCTCATTGTTAAAATTCTTGCCTATTCTATACTTAACCAGTCTTTTGTTGTTGTTGAGTCATTTTTCAATTGTGTCTGACTCTGTTACCCCATTTGAGGTTTTCTTGGCAGAGATACTGGAGTAGTTTGATGTTTCCTTCTCCAGCTCATTTTATAGATGAGGAAACGGAGCAAACAGCATTAAGTGACTTGCTAGGGTCACACAGCTAGTAAATTCCTGAGGCCAGATTTGAAGATGAGTCTTCCTGACTCCAGTCCTGACTATATTCCACTGTGCCACCTAGCTGCCCCCACTCAATCAGTTTACTTTTTTATAAGTATCAGATTACCTCTTTATAAGTCTAATGTAAGTATAATATACCTCTATATAAGTCTAATATTTATAAGTCTATAAATAGACTGTATAAGTCTAATTTGTATGGTTAAGTGAGAAATTCCAGTGAAGGCATCTTTTATCTCTCTGCCAGGACTATAGTTGGTCTCAATTGGTTTTTTTAATTGCCTATCATATATGTTTTCTGGTTTCCTAATAAAAGAATTATTGATGATCTGGATGATGGAAACATCTTTAGTTAGCTGGCACAACGTCCATTAGAGATATCTGCCCTAGAAAACCATTTTCTCTTCTACGTCAGTAATTGTGCAGGTTGCTATGTTCAATTTTGCCTCAAATGCTAATAGTTGAGTGTACCATTTCTATTTTTGCATCCTTTTTTTTTTTCCAAGTTGTGCTACAAGGAAATGGTGGCAGTAACTACAGATGTCCCCAGCTCAGTTGGGAAGACTTGACAGATGTGTCTGTTTTCTAATTCTTTTCTATGTTCTCTGATGCTTAACCTCATCATGACAGGGATTTCATGTCCTCATTCTGTCACTTCACAAATCTGCAGCTCAAGAACTTTGTCCTCTCTGTGTTTTAGACTTCACTGAATAAGCAACCAGTTTTCATTAATAGTCCATACACATGTGAATAGTATTATGTTATAATGTTTTTATGCTAGTACAATGTCAATATGAATATGTGACAGTGTTAATTAACCCTGCTCTGGGAGCCCTGTAAAAATTCCTGAGCAGTAAATTAATTTACCCTTTAATAATAATAGCTAGCATTCTCAGCAATACAATGATCCAAGACAATTCTAAAGGACTTATGATGAAAAATGCTATCCATCCCTAGAGACAGAACTGATGGAGTCTGAATACAGATTGAACCATACTTTTTTTACTTTGCTTAGTTTTCTTGGGTTTTTATTTTGATCTGTGTTTTATTTTATGACTACTATGGAAATGTGTTTTGTATGACTACACATGTATAACCTGTATCAAATTGCTTGCCCTCTCAGTGAGGGGGGTGGGAAGGGAAAGAGAGAATTTGGAACTCAGTTTTTAAAAAAAGAACGTTGACAATTATTTTTATATGTAATTGGGGGAAAATAAAATACTAAAAAAATTAATAATAATAGCTAGTATTTACATAGTGCTTTAAGGTTTGTTATTACATTAGACCCTCACAACAACCCTGTTAGGTAGATGTTACTATTGTCCCTGTTTTAGAGATTAAGAAACTGAAGCAGAGAGAGGTTAAGTGACTTGCCCAGGATGACACAACTAGTCAGTGTCAGGTAGGATTTGAACCCAAGTCTTTTTGACCCCAGGTCAAGCCTGCTTTCCACCATGCCACCTAGCTACCCCTGTACCTCTTCGTACAAAAGGACCAGTGATAAAATATGCAATAATTACCCGTATCATAAAAATTTAGTCCACAATGTAAGTCTGCATCTGAAGAGTCATCTGCATTATAATAAGTAATCATAATCTATAATTTATAAGCAATTTATCAGTGAACAAAAGCCAGGAGTTTTGGGGAAGAGGGAAAAAAAGCTTTTTCCTCATGCCTACATAGTTCTTGTCATGTTACTTTTTAAGTCATGTTACATCTATTTCAGTGACTAGAGAGGTGGCCATCTTGGTATGGCACAGAACAGCTGCCACATAGGCAGCTGGTAGCATTGATGCTTCTAATGCTGGCTCAGTAACTGACCTCAGGGCTTCCAAAACAGAGGGAGCATAACTTATAACTACAGGTTGTTAATG